CTCCCGCATGGAACAGGAAGCAGCAGCGCTGAAGCTCCAGGCTGAGGAGGCTCAGAAAAACCTGGTGCTTGCTCAAAGTCAACTGGACCAGCTAACGTCGGAGACTCAGCACCAGCACAGGACGGCGGATGAAAAGGACCCAGAGCTGCAGGAGGAAGTAGAGAGACTCCAAAAAGCCTTAACTGATCTCCGCGTAGACACAGCGCGCCAAGAGCAGTGGGAAAAGGACACCAGAGAGGAACTAAGTGGAAAAACTTCAGCAAGTCGAGGCTCTCCTGAGGAGAGCAGAGACTGAACTCAAAGAGAGAGACGCCAGGGCCAGGGCCTGCGAAGGCCACCTGCAAAGTTCCCGGGCTGAAGTCAGTGCCCTGGCCCAACAAAGAGACTATTTAAAAGATTAACTTGATACGGTTCACCAAGAGCTTAAATATGCATATAGACTGCAAAGTGACTCTGAAAGGGAAATGCACACCACAGAATTTCCCCTAACCAGCAGATTGATACCTCCTAGTCAAGGGTTTCCAGTTCGAAAGGGGGGTGAGAACCCACTGCTCAAGACATCACCTGTCAGCATCCCTGAACCCCCAGCAGCAGCAAGGGGGTGGGAGCCTTTTCAAAGGCTGTCTTCCAGTCACGGTGTGTCACTTAAAGAATTGGATAAGCTGGCTAGAAACATTCCCACTTTCTCTCCAAACCCTGCAGGAAGCCACAATGTGCACGCCTACTTAAAAGACGTTGACTTTCACTTGCAAACTGTTGCCAATGTTACCACACGAGACAGGTTACCACAAGAGACAGACTCTATCTGCTCCGAATCACCGCCAGCCGTGAGGTGAGGAGCTTTCTAGACCGGCAGCCAGAAACGGTCGAAGGGGATTACCAGCAAATGCAGCAGGCTCTGATTAAGGAGTTCTCTGACCCAGAGTCAGAGCAAGGACTGATTACTGCCATGGACCTTAAACAGGGCAGACAGGAAACCACACAGGCTTACTACAACAGGCTCAGACAGGCCTACTTCGGAGCATGGAACGAGCCAGGAATGGAACAGGATTTCAACTTCAAAATTCTGTTCCTCCGGAACCTGCACCCAACAGTGAGCCACCACTTGGGGGTTCTGGCTTGCCCACGGACTATGTCCACCCAACAGCTGCGAGATTTGGCCCACAAGGCCTATGTTAAACAAAAGACTGTTTCTGAAAAGACAGGAAAAACCCCCACAATCTATCCTGTCACTAATCAGAGCTCTGAACTTGCTCTAGAGGGCGCCGAGCCAAGCCACACTGACAAACCCGTCAACACAATGTCAAGGCCCTGCCCAACCAGCAGAGAGCAGCATGGCCATGGGGGTGCCCGTCCTAAGCACCAGTATGAGCGCCCTGAGAGATCCTGGGATAGGTCACTTATCTCACCAGACTCTCCAGCCACTGCCTCAGCGCTGGTATATACCAACGGCATGACCAGGACAAAAGAGTGGTCGCATATGCCAGCAAGACTCTTCTTCCCCCAGAGTGCAAATACTCAGACTGTGAGAAATCCCTGCTCTGTACTGTATGGGCCATCCAGAGAATCTCCAACTACATCGGAGCACAGAAAGTGATCACAGAAACTTGTCACCAGCCTGTCACATTCCTCAACAGCCAGCGCATCCGCGACGGTGTGGCCACAAACGCACGCATAGCCACATGGCTAATGGCCCTCCAGGGGCGCAATGTAGAAGCACGATATGCTCAAAATCCCAAGTCGATGCTGGGTAACGGCCTGGCAGCCTGCCAAAGCTGCTCCGATGACACACCGACTGAGATCGTAGAAGCAGAAAGGCCCCAACT